GGGCTCTTGATATATCCCAAAGTCCGATCTTGAGTGGTCGTCCTCGATGGGATACACGCTCAGTGGCCCATAGGCTACATAGCAGCCTCATAGCCTCTAAAGGCGGTGTTGACGAAAACAACATGTTCTGAGGAATCCTTTCCTCTGGACTCTTCCGGGCCTTGATCTCCCGGACCACCAATCTCGACCTGAAGTTGGGATTGGCGGGGTCTCCTTTGTTGGTGTCTATCCAACGGGTGGTGATTGGACCCTTCCCGTTGGTCTCTCTGAGGCATTCCTCGAGCGGCACCTTCTCGTAAACCTCTTGCTTCCTAAGATAGTCCAACTCGAGCTGACGTGCCTCCCTGACTCGGTCTGGTGGCAAAAACCCACCAGTCACGTCGTCCCAGTACTGCTCCACGTCTTCCGGCGTCACGAAGCTCTCCTCTGGGATTGGACCTGCAACTGCTGCGTCCAATGCACTCAACTGGCCACTCTCTACAAGGTGGCTCTTCAAAGTCTTCAGGACCGCTCGCACTAGCGCTGGCGGATAACCGGCCGCCGGTCTAGCGAGTCCTCCGATCAGGTGGATGTGCCGGTGCCATGGTTTCCCCGGCACATTGTTGGTGCATTCGCCCTCCAACAGTTGGGCCAAACCTGGATGGTTGGTCATCCAGCCAGTTTCTTTCCGCACATATCCTGTGCCCTGCAAACCCCTCCGGTCCGTAGCGACCATAGCCCATCTGCACATTGGGCCTCGGACAGTGTACACGTCCGGTCTCTCAGTGAGCTCACGGACCTCCGGGTCTTTCCAAGAGGTAGCACTCCAAGGTGCCTCATGCAAGAAGAACCTACCTGCCTGCAACTGCTTCCTGTAGAACCTACAGGCGGTATTCAAATGAGCAACTGCTCTATCCATCTTCTCGCGCCTCTTGTCTGGGCTCACCCTGTACTTGTTGATGTTCTGGAGCTGGGAGAATTGGTGGGCTCCCTGTGAGCAATGTCGGCTCGACCTCGTCCACATACTCCTCGAGCTCTCGGACGTCCTCAGCCTTGCTGAGATCCCAGTAGGAACCGTCCGGTTTCTGCTCCTCAAGGTCTACCGCAAAGCCCGGCCTCAAGCCATACTGCCCGGCTTGGGCCGTAAACCGCTTCGGGCTGTAGATCTCCATGATATCAACAGCTCCCATCTCCACGCACAGCTTGGTGATCTGCTCCAGCTCGACCGCGTTGATCTCCACCTCCTGAGCCAAAAACGCTCTCTCTACTTTCCGTCCAACCATGGACCTTAACATCCTCTTCAATCGACCCAGTTCAAGTCCGCCCACGTCTGGGGGCTTGTCCGGGGTGTTTGAAGTCTCGGCGTCAGCCGCCGGTTGAGTCTCCGTTCGGAGTTCTTCAGGAGATACTGCGGGCTCTCGCTTCTCACCTTGCTTCTGCTGCGTCTTCTGCTTGGCTCCGGGCGCTATATACAGCGCTCCCGGTCTCTTGATCTGCGTGGTCGGCTTCGCCTTGCTCTTTGGGCTACTCGATGCTGGCGGGTCTGCTGCTGCTCTCTTGAGTTCAGCCCTCTTCGCTGGATCATCCACATACTCTATCGCTTGTCCAGGGTCTTGCCTAGATCCCACTCCGGCTTCAGCGGCCGGCTCTCCCATGGCCTCTTGGGCTGGGAGATCTGCTTCCACTCCTACTTCCACGCTCTCCTCTTTCTTCCTTTTGTGAGCTTCGACACGGCGTCGTCCTTGCTCATCATCCATCATGAGACCGACGATTCTCACTCGGCACATCTCAGTGTGCGGCAACTGAGTGGATTCCCCTAGTAGCACGCAAGTGCATCCAGGACATCCATCAGTAGGTTGGTACTTCTCCACATCTACCTTACGGATGTAAATCCGCCGCTGCTGTGGCGGTGCCATAACAGGCACAACCTGAGGCGGAACCTCAACCCGGTCTTCACTGACCAGCAGGTCTTCCACTCCTTGAGCAGGAGTTCCCGGGGCCCTCTGCCCCGGCGTTCCCGGCGCTCGCACTGAGACCTCCCACGGGTAGCCTTTAAGGCTTTCCCATCCTTGTGGATTCCATTGATCTTCTTCAGGAAGTCGACGAACACCAGTGCCTCTCTTCACTCCCTCTGAGGTCACAACCAGCAAAGTGCCAGTCCTTCCATGGTGACCTATGTACCTGCCTTCCTTGAGTGGCCTAGCTCCTTCTCCTACCTCACGGTAGTACAACCGCTCTCCTATGGCGATTGCCGGCTTTCTCCATTCTCGGCCACACCTCCTTTGTTCCGGGGTCTTCCCGTCGGAACCTCTCTTGTACCTGCACATCAGGTCTGCTGCATGTCTTGGAAACCAAGACAGCACAGGGTCGTCATCCTTCAAGATTCGACCCAACTTCTCCTCCAATGAGGATCGCAGGACTCTCACCTGCCTTTTGAGTTCTCGGCACAAGTTCTCGATTGCGCCGTTCGCCCGGTGATCAGCCACCGGCGACTCCTGTGGAACATTCTCCACACCTGCTTCCTTCGCCGCCTGCTCCTTCAGGGCAACGATAGCATGTTCGCCATCGCTTTTGAAAACTGCTCGGCGATATCCTAGGTGCTTGATAAAATTCGCCATGAACTTAACAGCATATGGCGTTGGACCTTTCGCGTCCACAAACGTGGCTGCAACAGCCAGTGTCCGACTGTCTCGGATCACCAGGATAGGATTGGTCTTCCCATCCTCCTTTCCATCTCGTGTCATCCACGTGTAATCGCACGAGATCGTCGCGAGCTCATCGCTCGCCTTCTCCTCATCGGGCCTAGCGCGATGCTGCTGACCCAATCCTCTGCCGGCCAAACAATGCCGACACCAGCTGCGGTACTGCACATGACCTGTCGCCTCGTGCTCCGCAACCTCAGCCCTCGATGGGCCTCCTGGTGCTCTCACCAGTGCGGGCGGCGCGATCTCGCCGCTCTCATCCATCTCATCACCCTCGGGCACATCTGCGGGTCGGCCCGCTGGCGCCTCTGGGTTCCCTTGTCCGACACCTACGGCATCATCTGCCGCTGCGAGTGGTTTGGCCGGACTTACGCCTCGTTGGACTGCCGTCCAAAACCCGAACAATCTTCCGACTTCAAATAGAAGTTGTAAACTCCTTTCTCTTGGTATATGGGCAACCAAGTATTCTTTTGGGCTTTACTGGGCTTGTTGAGCAACTGCTGAATTTTCCTTCCTGTCGCTGAGTCTACTGGAATCAACTGTCCACCATCTTGATCAAGAACAGCCATCCTTCCATGTTTGAGGCACTTGTAAGCTGAAACCAACGGTTTGTGTACCGGTGCTAATGGCCCTGTGACTCTACACCTGGAACCTGTTTCACTCTTACCTTGAAACGTCCCGGTTCCGGTCCCAGGGACCAGTTCCCCCGATGCTGTTTTGAACATCATCTGGGCTCCTTCCTTAGTGGGGATGCGGTCTTTCCAATCCACTGGAATGGCAGTCTGCGCAGCCCCCGTATCAAGGTTGAACCGAACCCAGCTTGGGTCTTTCGGGGACTCTCCC